AATTAGGTTTATCTTAACTTGGCTCCGTGCTTTATTCAATGTCTATGATTAATTATCTCCTTTTTTCATAAAAAATAAATCATGTAAAATTAGGATCTCGCTGCTTATGAGAAAATAAGCAAGCCCTAGTTTGAGGTCGATTTTGTTAATTTCAGCCTGAAATTGACACACTAATTAAAGCGCAGCGTACACCCTTCTCCTTCTTCTTCTTCTTTATCAGATCTACCTTATATTTTCCCAATTAAAAACTGTTAAAAAAGGCAGTTGCACTGCCCCCAGGATAAAAAAAGCCCCCTTTTCACAACATTGCCCATCGCTTTCTGCCATCAGATTCATTGTGATGTATTAGATGCAATAAATTATCCCATGTAACAAAACATTGGGAGCTGAAAGGCTGATAATCTGGAAAGCAGAGATAAGGATTCATTATTCCGAATCATTATGAATCCAACGGTGCCTCTGACTTCTTTCTTAATCAGCTCCTCTGATCCTGGATATGTGAGCGGTACAGATAAGGAAAGAGTCATTTATAATTCTGCACCTCGTCTAATATTTTAAAATAAAGTCAGAGGCAAGAAAACGCTATAAAACACAAGCAAGAGGCGAGCTCCGAATGAAAAATCACTTCTATGTTGTTATAGCCGCAGTAAGATTTAATTAAAATTCTCCACTTCCACGTGCTTTATATATATATATATATATATATTTTGCATCACGTCTATAATTGATAGGGATTTGCAATCGGGGTTATTTGTTGGACTCCAGCTCTGACTTTACTTCCAAAGTCCTTGATTCGGGGTGGAGGGAATGAACTTTGAATTTTCAGTTCCAAAGCTTTCCCCTCCCCACCACCCTCCCCACCTTTTACACGATGTCATTAGGCCGATCCTATGAATGTATAAAGCTAAAGCGAATGGAAATCGTTTTAAAGGGAATACACGCACAGAATCAAAGCCGAAGCGGCTGGCTTGGCAACATCAGATGAAGCTGTTCAGTTTGGAAAATAAAGATCCTAATTATGTTTTTAAAAAAATATCAGATGAGGATATTTCTTTCAGTGGGTTTGTTATTGATTTTGGGGGGGGGGCGGGCGGGCGAGGAAGATCCATTTTAAAAAGGAGAAGGAGAAGGAACTTGAATTATAGAGAATAAAACATTCCTGCGGTTTACTAATCACCCCATTCCTTAGGGCGGAGTGGCTATCAATAACCACGCCATGTAGATTATATTTATGGAGGAACCGACTGCAAATCTTTGTTTTGCTGGGTCCTAGGTAGATTCTGTGTATTTAGGTCCTTGATTCCGATGGCTACAAATATAAACGTGTGTATCTACACCTGTATCCCAGGCGTGTCTTTGTGTGGTTTTCTCACACACGCTGCAAGTTTCGAATCGCTGGACGCTGGCTTCTTTTGAAAACACAATTCCTATTTTTAAAAACCCTTCGCTCTCTGAATATTGTTCTCGTGTATTTTTGGGACGGAAACTGCAGACATCGAGGGCTGCGGTATTTGTGATAAACCCGGCGTGCCATTTAAAACCTCATTAGTGATGTTTAACCTTTGAATCGCCAGCCATCATCTCTGGAAAAGAATTTAACGGTGTGGGGTTAATCGCTCTCTCTCTCTCTCGGGTGTGTGTGTGTGTGTGTGTGTGTGTGTGTGTGTGTGTGTGTGTGTGTGTGTGTCG